AAAGTTACCGAGTCACTCGACAACAGTGTAGACGTTACAGGTATTGACGTTAACCAGGTAGATCTCAGTACATCGCTGATGAAACCATTGCATGCTAAATGATTGATTAAATGTCATGAAATTTTATCCAGTCGTCATGACATAGTCGTCAGTGGATTTACACAGGCGGGACTTGTTTAAGAAAATCGTGTAAAATACTAGTATTGGCTATGAATATTTGCCCTACATCGGAACTGAACGAACTTTTGAAATTGTGAATTAATATTGCCATTTTTTTATTGTACTAGTATTTGTATGTATAAATATTTATGTAAAGGAAATAAAACTTAATTTTGTCATTTAATAACTTGTGTACTGTTTTAGAGAGTGTGTAGAAACGTAGCGTGTTATTCACTAAGATCCAATATGGCGGCAAGCTGGCCTCATTAATTATTCATGAGATGCTAAAACAACACTTCGCGGTGTTTTTATTTTCGCGCTAATTTCCCTACCGCGAAATAAGCGGAAATAAAATCCCCGCGAAAATAAAGTATTCCACAGTATAAAAAACCGATGTATGTAGATGTTTTTTTTATCCATTTTCAATGCATAAATGCCCCTTTCGCGAGACCCCTTGATAAATCACGTTTTTTGCTTTGTGTATTTGACACGATATGCATATTCAATTAATTATTCGCAGCCAATGTTGGTATACTAATGCTTGTTATTTTACAATTGATAACTAAAAGCATAGTAATAATGACTTGCTCTAAATCATGAGCTGCAATAATTATTTTTCTCGTATTATTTTCTAGATTTGATTCTCGAGTTAAAGCCATGGAAGTTGATGAACGACCAACAGAACAATACAGCGATATTGGTGGTTTAGATAAACAAATTCAAGAGGTAGGCTGGATAATACAGATTTATTTATTGCATTTATTTATATAATGAGTTTTAATATCATAAGTTTACCTTGATAAATAAACATCCCCCGACACACACCTAAGACACAACCATATTTTATTCCTTCCTTAGTTAATTTTTATTTTTTATTTAATAGGGCATAGTGAAATGCCGAAGTACAGCCATTTGAATATTCAATCTTCCCAGTTGCTTCATAGAGATCAAGTATTCTTTATAAAATATGAAAAACATTGGTATTCTAATACTTCTTGCCTGCTCATCCTATATTTTCAGATTTACATTCATTTAAATCTATTGATTTATTATAAATTTATTGTACATTATAGCTTGTAGAGGCTGTTGTATTACCAATGACTCACAAAGACAGATTTGAAAACCTTGGAATTCAGCCACCAAAAGGTAATCACATTACTTTGTAACTAATTAATATTCAATATTTGTCAGTAGTTCTATCAGGGTTTTGAGTGAGAGATAATACACATTGTGTGGGAAAACTAAAATTACCAATCTAACACAAGTTTGAATTGATGCCCGAGGAATTAAATGTATCGTACCTTGTCTATTTCTAGGAGTGTTGCTGTACGGAGCACCAGGAACGGGTAAGACACTGATGGCCAGAGCATGTGCTGCACAGACCAAAGTAAGCAATGTCACTTTAATCCATATCTTACCAAGTCATCTTATTTGATCTGTTGATTGAAAGAACACATTTATAAACTGTGACCTGTTTTTGGAAAATGTTCATACATATTTAACAACCACTTGTGGTCTGCTGTATAAATCCAATATAATATTAAATCGTTCAAACTATCCTATTTCAGTCCACATTTTTAAAGTTAGCTGGTCCACAGTTAGTACAGATGTTCATTGGTGATGGTGCTAAGCTGGTGAGAGATGCCTTTGCTCTTGCCAAAGAAAAGCTACCTGCCATTATATTTATTGATGAATTAGATGCTATTGGAACAAAACGATTTGACAGTGAAAAAGCTGGTGACAGAGAAGTACAAAGAACTATGTTGGAATTACTCAACCAATTAGATGGATTCTCTTCTAATGAGTCAATTAAGGTACGTAAAGTGTGATTTTTGCATTAATAAAAGTGAGCATGCTGTTTAATCACAATCAAACTCCAGTGTTTGAAAGTACTGCCCGCCTGGCACAGGTAGCTATTTAGTCTGGCTGGGGAAAACTCAAATCAGTAGCCCTGTGGTCAGATGGATTTGAGAAAATAAAAACAAAAATCACAAAATGTCTGAGAATGTAGTGTAGACGCCAAAATTGCTTATTAGTTGGCAGGTCGATAGGGCGCCACCACAGTTCATTTAATTGTAAGTGGAGGTAACACAGGGCGAACAAACACGTCAGGTTTTAGGAAAGGTCAGATGAAAATAGACGGCAAGTTGGCGTTTGGTAATCTTTAGGCCACGGACTTGTATGATTATTTACGGAAACTTTAAGAACAGTGGCAGGGTTTGTGAAGTTGTCAAGTTGAAGTATGCAATTAATCGTATGTATTAAAGACTGAAGTTTCTTGGTACTGCTTGTGTTGCTATATATTTACGTACACTCTGTTGTGTTTGGAATCGCGTGAGTATTATCGAACATATTGACGGTTTTTGCTGTAACGTAGCTTCCACCCGCCCTTCGTCAGATAACATACAGGCTCTATGTAGATGCAGTAGTGCAATCGCCAACCGGAATTATTGCGTCAACATGTAGGATTGTTGTCAAAATTATATACCTAGAGGTCTGATGCAGGTGTTTTGACACATGCATTGCAGCAATATCACATCATGCGTGATTTCAGTGAACTCTCACACTATGTAAATGCAAAGAAACCTCCAGCCTCAACACGCACATGTCAATATCATTGTTTTTTTTCTGAAGTTGGAGACTATGGTTTACTTCCTGAATGTTATCAAAATATAAATAAATACGTAAAAAAATTAATGTTTTTTTTACCTAGGTGATAGCTGCGACTAACAGGGTAGACATATTAGATCCTGCTTTACTAAGATCAGGGCGACTTGACAGAAAAATTGAATTTCCAGTGCCCAATGAAGAAGCTAGAGCTAGAATTATGCAAATCCATTCAAGGAAAATGAATGTTAGGTGAGAATTGTATGCATAAATGTACTCAAATTTAAATGTATTTAAAGCGAGAGCGGGTTGTCACCTGTGCACGCGTGGGAATTGAGTCCTAAGCGACAGTAACACACGCAAAAAACGCAAAGGATCATGGGTAGACACTTGTTTGTAAACAATGACACGCTGTGGCCATCTGACGCATGCCCAGGTGACGACTCCCTCGCTTTAACAATGTGGTGTTTGCACTGCTCTGAATGCCCAAACCATACTACACAAAGTCAACAGTTTAATTTGTTTCTGGCAATGTGTGTGGGGTATTATGACAAGCATCTTTATTTTCCCTGCTAATGAAGACTTTCTACTCTATTCTCTGGAAATAAAAAATCTACAGTCCTCTCACAAACCCAAAATGCTGGGTCACTCAAGTTGGCAGGGAACAAGCCATATTTATAGATATGTATTTCAAGGAACTGTTTTTGTCTATTGAATTAATTGCTGCAGTATCAATGCCTTCTCTTCTAGGTTAAGTGGCGTTCTCAGATGAACCAGTCCTATGCTATAACAATAAACACTAACACTTAATTTACTGGGAGTTATAATCATATGTAGATGGTAATTGTGGTGTTCAAACAGACCTTGTATTATTGATTTCCAGACTGGAATAGATTATAGTTTTGTTTAAATAATAATTTATTTCCAGTGCTGATGTCAACTTTGAAGAACTTGCTCGATGTACTGATGATTTTAACGGTGCCATGTGTAAAGCTGTTTGTGTTGAAGCTGTAAGTATCTTCCCGATACCTTGATATGATTTCAAATAGGGAGCCCTGTTATCTGTGATAGTATATGCTGCTAACACGCTTCTCATACAGGAATTTCTTGACATTTTGCTAATTAAAAATCAGCAGAAAAGCCAAAGGTACCCAACTTAGTTTTTATTTTGAATTATATTTGTTTTGACCAACGTTTATATTTCAAAATTGGGGTAACCATTTAGAATGTGAGCCACCCAGAATGAGAGATAGATTCTGTAGTGGATTTCCAGTCGACATTGATGTCCTAGTGCTGGAAATTCCATTTCCTGGCAAGTAAATGTAGCTGTCATGTACTGATTAAAATAAATTTCAGTATGGGTTGATCAGTTATATTGTCACACTTTTCAGTGTCAAATATTACCAATGTATGACCACCATTTGTGTAACAATATCAAACTAGTAAGCAAAATGAGTTTGGTCAATTTTGATACACTTGTCGTCATATTATTAGAGACATCTTGGATCTCTGAGAGACAATGACCAAGGATGTGAATTCAACTTGTGAAAAACTGGCATACTAAGGTCTGTGGCAAATCCCCCTCCTGTTGCATCACACACTCAGAAACATAGCAAATAGGAAAATTAAAACTCAGTTTGAATCAGTCAGTCAGTCAGTCAGTTAATTGATTGAAATTTATTTTTTGCTTGACAGGGTATGATTGCATTACGTCGTGGAGCCAGTGAACTTACACATGAAGACTATATGGACGGCATATTGGAAGTACAGGCCAAGAAAAAATCCAATCTTAATTATTACGCTTAATTGTAATTATTATGAAAACAATTACTATACCAGTGATAATTGCCAGCTTTCTATATTTTATTCTCTAAACTGGGTGTAGTTGTCTTCTTATATTGTCAAATCTATCAGACATGTGATATTGAGTACTTAGTTATTGTGTTAACATCTGGCATGTCAACAGCTTTGTGGCAACATCATAGCATACTACCTATATGTATCTATTTTCACTTATCTGTACATTGTTGGAAATTGCTGTACTTTTCTGTAATAAGAGTATTGGAATAAAAGCACTTCGGGGTTCAACTGTTTCATAACTGTTTTTACTTTGATATTGTATTGCCACTATTTTGATTGGAGTTGTGCGTTTATCCGTTGTTATCACACCTTTATAAATATGGGGGCTGAGGTTTGGTCTTTCCCCTGACCGAGTACATGACCTCTCCTAGTGAACTTGGCAGTGCATGAATATCGAGGCACTCAGTAAATGTAGGCAAAGTATTCTGAAATAACACTGCCTGCTAATACTAAGTAAGAATCACACCCACACAACTGAATTGACTCTGATTGCACTCTGAAATTTATTTGTACAATGGCATTTTTGTTAGATCCCAAACCTATTCACATGAATTGTTGTTCAAACGTACTGTAAAATACTTTAATTCAGTGAAAGTATAATCCAGCAAATGTACATTTTTCCCCTATATTTACACTCAACTAAAAAAAAATCAGTGAAATTGAATTTTTACAGTAATTCAGTCTGCCTGAATACAGTACATACTGTGGAATACTTTATTTTCGCTGGAATTAATTTTCGCTCAAAAGGCTTTTTGGGTGTTTTGTATGGAATTTATTTTCACTGATTTTTGATGAATTTAATGTGAAATATAGGAAAAAAAGTATATTCGCTGGATTTTATTTTCACGAAATCATCCCTTCAGCGAAAATAAATTCCAAGCGAAATAAAAGTATTCTACAGTACTTTCTACATACCGGTACTAACTTTTTACCCATGGGTATGTGGTACCACAAAAGTAACTTTGGTTTGGTGAATAAACTTGTTACAGCTGTTCTGAGAATTACAGTATTTGGAAAGTGTTGGCCAAAGTGTGTTGCAAAGTTGTAAGTCACCTTGCTAACTGACTGTCAGAATAATTCTCGGAACGGCTGTAAAAAAATTGGCCGAACACAGCTGATGACCTTTTATATAAATGTATACATGTGCAATAGTCAGCATGTATTAAAAATATTGTGCTTCATTAGTGACAGAAGATAATTTGATATCGTTTCCGATTTCACTGCTCGATTTATTAAGGTTTTACTGTCTAAACAATCTGACACGCAATAAACAGTGAACCATTTGAAAATTTGTGGTAAAAAGTTTCCTGAAAAAAAATCTTGACACATTGGACGTGCGTCAATAAGACAATTTGCGTACTGGTTAAAGTGAATAAAAATAACATTAATTAAGTTAAAAAAAAGTGTGAAATAATGCACGTATGCATAAACATTACATCTAATTTTTCTTGTGTAAACGCCAGTATATTGCTTAGTTCAGACATTGAGGGCGCCACATAACTTCAGACGAGTGTTACTAGTATATTTAGAAACAAGTGCCGTAAAAAGTACTGAATAAAAAATTTTTAAAAAGAGTTAAATGTAGTCTGACGTTTTTGCAAAAGTTTAATTTTGGGTTATACATTACTCTGTCTGGTTTGGTTTGGCATGACGCACAAGGCTTTGGATGTGTCTTTTCGAACCTTCATACTGTGGTCACATGTGCACACAATGTTGTTATTTTTTTTAGTTGACGAAGAATTAAATAAATATTGTTTGTTTATTAGTGAAAGTCTTTTTTGTATAACGTTTCTCGGTTAAGTTAAAGTAATGTATCTCTGATAATATAATAATTTACATAAATTTATAATTTAAATAAATAAATTCCATATCTCAGCAAAGACGCTGTATATTCTAATGTCTTTTTAAGTCCCTAGCTAATTGGTCCCACGTGACGTTTACAAATGTATTACCACAGTGTGGTAATACTGATCATGCGTGACTGACATTGACAACAACTAAGATACGACCAATCCGCGAGAAAAACTTTCTAGTAGAATACCCGGATGTACTAAACCCGGAAATACCTCTGCAATCACGGACCATAGCGAGTTCTCTGCTTGCTGTGTAACTCACTGGTAGCCGGGAATGGTTAAATATCCTCAAATTGTGGGTATGTACATTCATTCATTCTTCTTCCCTGTGTCATCTGTTTGAGACCTATTTAGGGTCCTCCTGACTAAACATCCCACGGTTCTTTGTTCGCTCCTTGGTTTCGTCGGTTGATGTTTGTTTGTTGTTGTAAATGTTGACCATGGCTGTCGTCGTTCACTGTGTCATTGACGTCGAATACACTGCAATATGGCACTAAACATCTTCATGAAAAGAAATTTCAA